TTTACTGCTTTAGCATTAGCTAACATCAAGCTCAAATTGTCTGCCAAAGCATTTAGATGGTTTTTAAATGTTTCACCCCATTAAATTTTTTTGTGCATTTGTGTGAAAAATAGAAATCGATAAAGATGCTCAACCTGAAATCTGAATTGGCGTAGGGATCTCTGCTGGACTGTTTAAAACATGAGTGAAATACGAAGCATGTCCAGCCTCTTTGCATCCTAGCAGAGGAGCTGTGTCCTGCTTTCTTCATTTGCTCCGGCCTCGCTCTGATGCTGCAGCCATCTATTGATTGTGTGAGGGCTTGGCGGCGAGCCAGTTCACACTGTGGCTCAGCAAAACGGGGAATAAAATGAGCAGAAAAGGCTGCTTGAAGGAAAGCAAGCGGGGGTTGATTTTGTAAATGATTTTCACATCAACACTTAATTAACTTTATTAAGTTCCCCGTTAAAAAAAGACCTGGCCCAAAGTGTTCGGATCACTCACACAGCTTTGCTGCCCTCGTGTGGAGCGTGGCAGAATGACACATGGAGATTTCTTGGATGACATTTAAATGGAAATGTTTGGGAAGCAAACAATGAGTTTGAATATTAGGGATGTCCTTTCTTTCCTCAGACAAACATTAAACATTAAGGCTCTGTCTGACTCTGACTGACATGACTGTTCATGGTCAGTTTGACATCAAGTCAAGCCACAAACAACCGGCTGTTTATTTATTATAGCTCGTACCGCTTTGTCACATATTTGTATCGAATTCCTTCAAGTAAGCCGTTTTCACGTTCTATTTAGATGTTCGTAGGTTTTGCCTGAGATTATTCAATGAAGCATTTATCCAGGAAGATAAACTTAAGAATCTAAATAACAGCACAAATCAGAGCTGTTATCACAACCAGTCTACGTTATTTTTAGACTGTGTAACGTGCTTGTTTTTCCTCCAGTTTGACTCTTGTTGCTCTCCCTGTGTTTCCTCCTTTCATCCTCCAGGCCATCTGCACAGAAGCAGGCCTCATGGCTTTGCGAGAGCGCCGAATGAAAGTCACCAACGAAGACTTCAAAAAGTCCAAGGAGAACGTTCTGTACAAGAAGCAGGAGGGCACGCCAGAGGGGCTTTACCTCTAACCTTGAAACATTTTTGTTTTCTCTCATCCTCCCCACCCCATCACTATCTATCGCTGTGTGAAAGAGAGGAGGCAGCAGCTGAGTCGCCTCCTCAGAGAGTTTGATATATTTTGTGCATGTCATGTCTGGCTTATCCCGCTCTCCTTTAACCGTTACATGTTAAAACAATAAATGACAAAATATAATATCTAATCACTGCGTGTTCTCATCACTTTTTCTTTCACTTTGCTGCAGCAGCATCTGCTTCCTTTTCACTTCCTGTAGTCTTCATTGGTTGGCTACAACATTTTGAGATATTCACATGAATTATGAGACTTCTCCCGTTGACCCGAGTGTCATAAATAGTCCTGTTAATACACAAAGTCTTGTTTTGTGTGTTCCCCATACGCAGCACAGCACACTGGCTATTTAGAGATTCTCAGAATGTTTGGGATGACACGCCCTGATTGTGATGTTTCACTCAGCCGTCACCTCCAGGAGCTGCATAATGTCACTGCACTAATGCCCAACTTTTTAAGTGTTTAGAGAATGCAGAGTGGGTTTTGGTACATGTTTATGTTTGTGCGCACAACCCCCTCCCCTATTTAAATCAGCCTCCAAGTTAAGTAAATCCAGCTAAGCTGCCCTTGCTGCAGTGTGACACACGGAGAGCGGCAGCGTTGATTTAATTCCTCTTGATGTGGAGCCATGTGCAACTCGCTGCTCAGCAGAAAGTGGCCCCATGCAGCACGGGCATCAAACCACTCACCGGGCTCCAGTGAGGACCAAGCTGCTGCTGCTGTTCTGCAGCCCCCTCCTCGCAAGCTCTCTCGCCTTATTAAATCAGTCACGCATTTCAACTGCAGTTCATTCAGCAAATGGAAGAATTGAAGGGGGTAAAAAAAGAAAAACATTTAAATCAAGCGCAGCGCGTTTGGGTGCCGGCAGATGGGTGCCGTGTTTTATAATGAGACATTTGCCCTGTCAGCTCAAGGCTGGGGTTGGGTATTAACAGCCCCCGTGAGCGCGTGCACACACACGCACCAATATGAGCTGATGCAGCTGGGTGTCGACACACTTTGATAGTTTCCATTTAATGCGCTCTCCCAAAAAAACAACAAAACCCCTGAAGTTCCCGCGTATTAGAGAAAAAAAAGAACAAAGTGCTGTATCAGAAATGCCTTTAATTGTCTTTGTGTTGGTTGGAATATTTAAATACTTATTTGCCTTGCAAATCTTGTATCAATGTATTTGTATATTTTAAACAGCTCAAAGTCTTTCCTAATGGCTGACTAATCATTCTCTGATACTGTCTCAGGTAAGCCCCACATATCCCCCGCCCCCCTTAATTTTTTTAAGAACATAAAGGTTTAAGGTGAGAAAAGGGGATCGTAAGGCATACATACAAAACAGCAATATTATGTTTCATATGCCATTTGTGCTGGAAAATAACCAGCAGAGCTCATGCTTTCGCCTCTGTGATTCTGCAAAGAGCAAACAATTTAAAGAAAAGACACAAATGTGTGAGAGAGAGTCGGAGAGATGCAAAGCAATAGCAGGAAAAATGTATATCTGCTTATGTAATGGCCATTTCTCCCGTTAAACAGGGCGAAACACTGAACAAATTCAGTAAGAGGTCACGATTAGTTCCAGCAGATTAACAAATGAAACGGCTCAACTTGAGTTAGTTACTCGACCTGATGAGAGGGCTGCGAGGAGCCCGGCTGGAACACATAGACGCACTATGCCGGGCTAAAGCTTCCACTAAGATATCTAAGAAGATATTTAAAGGATGATCTGTCTTGGTGACCAGTTCCACTGCTACTCTGTAACTGTAGATATATTAATCATATCTAATTATAAATACAGTCATAATGACTGTTGCATCATATGTTTTTTTATTTTATTTTTTTTTGGGGGGGGTTGTATGGAGAAGAGTCGTAATGTTCAAAGTTCTGCTGTTAAAATAGCTTTGACTGTGATTTAAAACATTTTGGGGCCTTGTATCAGTTTAGTCTCAGGATACCAAAGGTCTTCTCTCTAAGATCAAGGTTGAGAAACAAAGCTGCGACTGATGAAACATTTCAGCAACCCACACGCTGTCATCTCACTGTTAGAAATGGTTTATGAAGGATTCATACCCTTCATACGAGGCATTTTTTGTCCTTATGAAGTGTGTGGCGTCCTCCTGTTACCCGCCTGGCTGCTGTAAACAAGCGTCCAAAATTTCTCCACTTTGTCCGCTGGGTGGTGCTTTGTTGTCGGGCACGCTTCACACTCTGTGGCGGGGGTCTTGGTGGTGTGTGTGCGGACTCTTGTGACAGCACTGCGATGCCGTCTGCTCTGCCAAATTCTGCACCGTCATTCCCACCTGCCCAAGTCACAGTGTTATACCCAGGAGTCAGCCACTGTTATTACTAAGAGTAATAACACAGGACGGCTCATTTTTAAACCCACTCCCCTTTTCTCGTCTGCGACCGAAAACAAGCAGCTAGCAACCCCGCCGTACTTTACTGTTAATTTCGCGCAGGCCTTCCAAACCTTTGTGGCAGCCAATAGCAAATGTGCGCACTTCCTATATCGAGCCTATTAAATGTTTACCCCTCGCCAATGAAAAGCCGTCGCTTCTCCTCTCGCCCCAGTCAAATTTATTATTATACAAAATAAATAATTGCTTAAACTCCTCAAACAGCGAAAGCGAGGCTCTGAAAGGCGCGTTGTTTTTAAGTTTTATGTATTTGTACTTATTCTGTTTCCATCAAGTGCCACTGCCTGGTGCAATGCAGGTCCCGTGTAGCCAATCGATGGTGCCGACACATGGAGTATAATATTGCAGGTCTGCAGCGGCCAATCAGAAGCGACCTCACACACCGGCACAGCAAATCTCCGGCGTCAACCGGGCTTCCTACACTGGCGGTATCCTTCCGCGACTGCAAACTAGTACCCATATTAGTAAAACATACCTGCCCCTAGAATAATAATAACAATGTAAATCCTGAGCTATAGCTGGTAGCGTCAAAATTTCTTGTAATTTTTACTTTACAACTCGTCATTTTATAAACCCAGTGAAGTTGCCAGACTTCAACTGTTCCGATCTCTTTTTAATTTAAAGACACAGTATGTTTTTTACCACCACATCGTGAGTTTTGAACATTGAATGCTAAACTTGTTACCAATAATAAAATAAACTTTTGGCTAACGCTAATTATCAAACTGTAGGAAAGGTTTTTACAGTGTTTCCAGATAAGTATTAATCACTGGAGTTCGGTCAAACAATTTACTAGTGCATGCTATCCTCTGAAATGTGGCCTCATCTTATTCTTGATAAAGATGAAGGTGTTAATGGTTTGCTTCACACTCCTTCTTTTCTACTTAAAGTTAATTATGGTCTTTATATGCATCTTAATGGCTCCATAAATAGTTGGGCTTAACTTTAATGTGCTGCTTTACTGCTGCTTCATTCAGTTATTGCCTAAAAGCTCCCAAGGGGAACTAACCATGTAAATCTATAAGCAATATTAGTCTGCATTAGTCAGCAAACATCCAAGTGAATAAAAAGTAACATCTAGAAATATTTATTCAGATCATGTTTACTAGCAGGCTCAGAATTTCAACAACATGGGCAGCGGTGTTTGTCTGCATCAAAAAGAAAAACAACAACACAAAACGTAGAATAATGTGTAAAATAACTGCATGTCTGCCACATCCCAAGTTGTGTAGTTTGACACGAGTGCAGGGACGCTCTCTCCATGTACTGCAGGCGTTTTGGCCCCAGTGATTGACGTGTCCACTGCTGGAGGCCCGAGTCGCTGTTGCTGCTGCAACAGCCCTGAATTGAAAATAAGGAAGTGAGTGATCAGTGCTAGTGTGGCGGAGGGATACACGAGGCAATCCCCATTCTAACCACGGCCAATACACTCACTCCTAACCCGCCAGTGGAACTCCATCTAAGGAACGACTACACTCCTAGTCTGCCTCCACAGACCAACAAGCACACAACCCATCCAACATGGTATGTATTGTCATTCATTCCGTTTAGTAGGGAAATGTGTTTTAAACGTAGGGAAAGCCTGCTTATTAGAAGCGCAAACCTACCATACGTGTATGTTTACTGTTTAGTCATTGATTCCTCTTATCAGCTATCCGGTATGCGCGGAGGAGGCGGAAAACGCCCGCCAGGCGCATTTTTTAAGCTAGTGCATGGGGCAATATGAAGTACACTATTATGTGTTTTGTCTGTCCGTTTTAGTGACTTTCTAAATGGAAATACTGTCCACTTCCAAATGGGTTTGCTTTATGCTTCATAACTGCGCAATTCACACAGCATTATTGGCTATTCGGCTATATGGGGTCAAGTAGCCGCTTCACGGCTGCACGGTGCATATCGAATTAATTCTTGGACTAGTTTAACGGTGTAACTAGCAAGCTATTCTGGGTTATTACGGCATAATTCTGGAGCCACGGGTGAGTTAGGGTGCGTTTTTACAATCCGCCTGAGGAGCACACCTTACCGAGAAGCACACCTATCGTTCGGAGAAACGTAGCCGAGCCATAAAGCGCTGTTTCCCCAGCCGGGAGAAGCGTGTTTGAACAGAGAAGCGCGGTAAATTTCGCAACGTGAACGCAGCACTGGTAATTAGAAGGAAAACGAACCGGCTGCGTTTGCTTCTCCCTCCCTCCATTTTTCTTTCTTTCTTTCTTTTTTTTAGGTTGCACCACCTTGTTGGTCGAGCCGAGCCGTGTCATGATGGGGAACGGTTGTTGTATCTCGTCAGTGTTCCGCAACGGAAACTGACCATATTTATGTAATTGCAAGGTTATGGCTACATTATACGTGTCATCCCGGCCTGTAAACAACCACTAATAGACGCAATTCCACCTTTAATGCATGCAGCCTTTACTGGTGGTTTATCGTAAGCGGGGTTATCTATTTGTGTTATGGTGGCTGATTTGCTTGGCTCTTTGCAAATTTTTCTCGATGTTATGCAAATGTGGTGCCTGTGTGAGTTGTCCAAGAAGCTCTTTGTGGCGCTTGGTCACCGCAAAAAAAAAAAGAAAAAAAGGCATCAGCAGCTGGAGAGTTCAGTCGACTTTTTCCAAAACCAGATGTTGCGAATTATGGGAAGTGGCAGGCTTGCACTACAGAATGCAGTAACCTGAATTCTGTGAGGGGGGGGGGCAACTAACAATTTTCACCAGATCCCTGAAGCCACACACACTCTTGACATCTGCAACCAGCTAACGAGGCAGAGCCTCTCTGCTGGCTGTGAGGAGAAGTTAACAAGTGGAAATGATCTGGATGTGGAAAAGAGGCCTTCGAGCTTAATCCATTGATTATCGGGCTTGATAGCTCATTAATGGCTCAAGGAGGTCAAGAAGCTGTAGACCTCCTCCAGCCCCTTTGCTGCAATCAAATACCCCATATATGGTAACAAGCTGTGATGCAGTTTCATGTTGCAGCGCAGTGCAGTAATTGGAGTGTAAAGGGGAATAGTTGTCCCCGTGTATCAGCCGCTCTGAAAAGTTTAATCCACGGCCGTAAGCCCCCTTGTCTGCATCAATACATGCGCTGAAGTGGAAACAGACTCCCCCATTGAGGTGGACGTATCGAATATGTAGCGGGACCGGGCTAAGGCCCTATCCTGTTCCTGTTACGCGCTTGCTTGCTGATGCATGTTTAGTAACTCAGTTGACATCCTATCCAGTGCAGTGAATAATTTATACGCTTGCCGACAACACCTAGCCAGGTCCCGTGTTCCCAGTGTTTGGCGGAAATGAAGTACAATGGAGTACCCGGTCACCTGCCACCACCAGCCATATGGTGAACGGGCGCCCCCATTGCAGGATGTTGGGAGCCTGGTGTTGTTTACACCATCCTCACTCCCATTAGACACAGCTCGGCCCTGAGGCCTCGCTGTTCTTTTTCTCTTCTTTTTTTTGTCCAGCCTCAAAGAGAAGAGGTGTTAAATGCGCTGTGGAGCTCAGTGCTACTATAGAACAGGACCGTGTGTGTGTGTCATACCCATCTGTCAGACTGACAGCTGGTTCTGCACCTTTCACTTGGTGAATGCAGAGATGCTAGCTCAGGAATTGTTAGGGCACCTCGGTGACAGATGAGCAGCAGCAGAGAAAAAAAAATGCACATTAAACATTGATAACAGGCTGTTAAAGAAGAAGATGATAGTTGATGGTGTTCTCTTGCGCTATTTTGCATCCCCTATCTAATTAAATCAAGTATGAACATAGGCGAATGCAGTGTTTGTACAAGCCTGATATGGAAGGAAGTGAGAGCTAAAAGCTATTTTACGCTGGCCCAGGGAACTGTCTCCTGCCTCCCGCAGTCCTGTTTGGAGTGCATAGCTAGGGCTGACTGCCCAGGCAACAGTGGGAGTGGTTGACCCACTCGTGCCAGTGAATTATTGCCAGCAGAGCACACCCCATCCCCAAACAAGCCATTTTTAACACCGGAAGCCTGGCAGCAAACATGGCTGTCCATAAGACAGTGAGGATGGTGAATCATTGGGAGTTTCCTCTCAACAGTATGCCACATATGGAGAGAGAAGAAGGGACACACAGAGGAGAAAAGGTCTGAAGGAGGAAATATTGGCAGAGGTACAAGTGCCAGGGAGAGGAGGAAGGACAGGAAGAGATGGGTCAGTAGTGAGCCCAGTGGTGCTGCGGCACCATAAGGCCCCGACAGCTTGGGCCTAAGCCAGGAGAGGTTCCATAGTACTGAGTCACCAGTGCCCACACCCTGTCCGCTTAGAGAGACAGCAAGAGACAGCACAAGCAACACAGCTTGACAAAGAGGGTGACTAAGGGAGGACTGGAAGGTGGAGTCATGAACACAGTGAGAAATTCACACAGGGGTTAATAAGGGACGAAAAATGTAAAGAGGAAGAGAGCAGCAGCAGAACTCAAATACAAAGATGAGACTGAGAATATCGGTCGACCCAAGTGGCACGTCAGCGTCGGGGAGGTTGCTTTTGTCTCTTGACATTTCCTATTCCATCAGATGGAAGTGGAGACAGGAGGAGGGCAGAGGCAGGGAGGAAAAAAGCAGAAAGAAAGAAAGAAAGAAAGAAACGTGTTCAGAGCAGGTTATTGAGTCAGGTCAGCTAATTGTACGAGTGCTCGCGAGGTTCTTCGTGAACCCCTTGCTGACTGAATCGATCCATCCCCAGCCTGCTGCTACTGCTCAAGCCGTGAGGCTTCTTTCTTTGGTGAAAAGTTAAAGGTCATCTGGCAGCACATTGTGTGGTGATCTGCTAAATCGTATCCAGTCAGAGCAAATGTATGAAGCAAATTTGATTTACTGGTTTAACTGAGAAAAACAAGATACTCTCACTCCCAAATGTGAACTTCACAAGGGTCAAATCGCCATAGCTACGGCGTATAGGTACGACCTGGAGGGCGTGTTTGTCTGTACCCAATGCAAAATTACATGTGCAAACACATAAACACACTGATGGGCTGCAGGAATTCGCTTTGAGGCATAACCGGCTACTCTGACTAATTCACAGGAAACATGGGGGTGGAAAGTATTGGTGTTGAGGAGGAATGCTATTAAAAGGGACTCTGTGTATGTGTGCGCCCTAGCTTACTCTTCCATGTTTGTCTGTGTGTGTTCCTTCCTTGCTGCCAAGCACAATGATGTCAGAGCGTTCTGTTAACAATACTAATAAAAAACCCAAAATCATGTTTTATAAGGCAGAGATTGGAGTGTACCGGTGGGAGTTATCTGCACCAGTAGCTTTGTATTCACACTTTTACAGCTGAAGGTGTTTGTTTGAAATCGCTGGCTCTTTTTACAAACAAGCTTAATAAATCTATGTAAAAGGCCTGGTGGTGGATGCTCGGTTTCAAGCCATTTAAAGTATGTGTGAGTCACTCTGAGCTATTAAGACAGCTCCAGCTGGCACAGCGAGCAGGGCTGGGAGGGCAACCAAGCCGGGCCAACCCGCCAGGCCATTATTCTTGTTACTACGGTTATGGAAAACACGCCGGCACTGATATGTCCTGAAACAACCCCGCCTAAACTTTGACTCCTGGTCTGGAGGCAGCACTTAATCAAATTTATTGCAGTATCTTGTTACCCAGCAGTCCTCCTTGTGAGCACTGCTATGGTGTAGCCTACTTTTATACACGAGGACGTCAGTCTTAGGGAGCCACTCTTCGGCTGGAAATTACATTTCATACATCACCTTCATGTAGTGCTTTTATGTGTTAGCTCTGTGCCAGTCTTACAAATACAACCTTGACGGTATGACGGTAAGCCTCCGCTCTCACTGTGAGCAAAACCTGATTACTAGCTTTTAGCGTCAATTTTATAGCATTACATTTGAGACTTACTGCCATGTAATTGGCAGTTAACTATTATATGAGAGAACAAAACACTATTTTGATAAGAAATATAAGGAAACCCATTTGGAGTATTGTTGTGGGTAGGTTTTGGCAGCCCCAACAGGAGCTCCTAGCTGAAGCCAGCCAACCCCAGAACACTGTGGCCAGTGTTTAGCTGTGTGGTGGTTGCACGGTGGGGATGATGAGGAATGTAATGACAAAACTACTTGGGATTTGCAGTCTTTGCCCTGTGACTAAGACTTGTTTGTTTGTGACAATAACAATCCGTTCTCCCCCCCAACCACACAGGCTGACCAGCTAACAGAGGAGCAGATTGCAGGTAAGAATAAGCAGGTTTTCCCTACTTCCCCTTTTCTCTTGGTGCGATGTCCCCTGTGTACTAGTGGATCACTTACATGCTGTAAAGTTCCAGAACTGAGTAAGGAAATGTCTCCCATTAGCTGTTCTGGCAGTTTCCATGTTGCTTATAGGGAACATGAAGTGAAAGAACATTGAAAGATTCGGCACCCGCCCTCCCTCAGCAGATCATTATCATTTCAAAATGAACAGGACATAAGGGGAAGAACTATTTGCAGCAATCATAAGTCAAGGCTGAAACCCGTGCAGCACATAGACGGTTTTAAAGCCAAGCTTAGGAACAGTTTCAATCACTGAGGCACCTTGATATTCTTAATAATAAATGATGGGAAAAAAGTGAAAGCTGCACAGTTTCTTCTCACTCAAAGCCCCTCTGTGGCTAATTAGCTTGTGTTAAGCCTCAAGGCTGATGCTCACTATTGCCTATTTTCAATCTCTGGATGGGTTTTTATGGCCTGTAGTTAAGAAGCCTGCTTGTTCAAAAGATAAAAACAGACACGCTGGCTTTTTCCCACTTCCAGTCTTCTGAGTCTTATAAGACTTCTTTGTGCAGTCAGAGCTCGGCACACGTGTGCATTAGCTTTGCAGGTTAGTTGAGAATCAGTTGACCTTTCTAGACCTGACCGCAGCGTCCCAACACAACCTATTCTCTAACTGCACAGCAACAGCAATCTAACTGGCGCTCTCACCTCCAACCCCCACAGAGTTCAAGGAGGCTTTCTCCTTATTTGACAAGGATGGTGACGGCACCATCACCACCAAAGAGCTCGGCACCGTCATGAGGTCGCTGGGCCAGAACCCCACAGAGGCTGAGCTGCAGGACATGATCAACGAGGTGGATGCTGATGGTCAGTATACTCACGCTTCATTTCTTGGCATTAGACTAACAAAACTGTGTAAAGTTACTCATTACAATTATGATTTGTCAGTTCAGTACATGCCTAGGTGCCATATAAGGCAGTGAAGTTTTCTTGATTGGTTGAAAAAGTACTACCCTAACTTTATGTTGACGATTATCACTTTTATTGAGAACATTTTTTTAACCCCGTCTTTGTGCCATAAGGTGAAGAGTTTGTGTTTGATGTGATAATTGAACAATAACGTTTTCCAAATCCAAAAACAATATAGGCGACTAGAATGAGGGATGCACGTGGATGTTATTTGTGGTACGGTGCGTCCAGGCTACAAAAACAAGACTTACGTTCTAAACCAGGGAGATGGGTTTGAACATTTGGGTTAATATGATCCTTTCCTGTAACGGCCCCACTTTTAATCAACAAAATGACCGGCAGCTGTCATTCCCAACAGAGAAGCAGCAAAAATTACACAACTGCGACTCATTTGCCTAAATACAGTTGGACATAATTTAACTGATTTTCAGGAGTGGGACTTCACCTCCATGCAGACCCCTTCTGGTTCTGTCTATATGTGGACCCCACCCCCACGCTGCACGCTGTTCGTTGTTGTTTTGGTGGCCCACCCACACACCCACCCTCTGTTTTTCAATTCATTCACTTCTTGTCAGTACATGGGGATCTGCATCCAGTCCCCAGACTGCAGCCTCAATTCATGTTCACGCCATCTGCCATTCTGTACTAGAAACACTATCAAACCTAAATGAGGATGTGGTCCCAGCTAGGGAAAAGAGGACTAACTGTTTGGAGATTTGTCTGTTAATTTGATTGGATGGTCTAATGGGGTGGGTGGGACTTTAATTTCTAGTTAACATTTCATTGCGTGACTTTAGCGATAAAACCTCTGTTACAAATGGACGAGGGATTAGTTCGACCATCCATTACGGCCCTTTCTCGAAACACATCAGCGGTGCTGTTGCCCACGTCCCTCCCTTTTCTGCCAACTGTCAACCAACTGTCCAAGCCAACTGTCCGGCCAGCCTTATCTTTAGATGACGTATCCTCTCTGTGTCAGCAGTTTAGTCACCATGCGTTCAGCTCCATCACAGTTGTCAGTGTCACGCATATGGATGTGCACGAGGAGTGTTCAGTGCTGGTGAGTGCTGTGTGTCGAAGGCTCAGCGTTACCGAGCCCAAGTTGAACCACCGTCGGCTGACATAATTCTCTTCTCCTGTGCATCCGTCCCTGCGCTGCAGTGTGAAACAGACATAGTGAGACAGCAAACTGAGTTAGAGGACAGGAATCCAAGTTGTTGGCTAGTAGCTCAAAAGTTGGCCGTCCTTGAGCTGCACAGGATGTTAGCTTTCAGTGGGGCCTTTACCTCAGTGCTGCTCTGTCAGCTTATAGGATTTCGTAAATGGGAGCACATTGATCAGGAGAAATCAATTGCGTCGCAGCTTGGCTGCCCCTTTATTGAAACGTCCTCCCACAATCCTTGATGCCCTCCCCTTCTCTTACACCCAAGAACGAACACACACACACACACACACACACACACACACACACACACACACACACACACACACACACACACACACTAACATCCCCTTGTTCTGCCTCTGCCTCCCTTGGCTGATGCAATCTAGGTCAGACAGCAGTGAAGCTAGTAATGGAAAATAAAAGTGGTTACATAAGGCCTCTCTGCGCTTTGCACATCCAGTACCCACATCAGCAGCCATGGGATGTCAGCTGGCCCATTGAAAATCAGCTTTATTTACCAAACAAGGAGGCTGGGGTAAAGAATTACAACAAATGGAGACAGGATGGAAGGCTTTAGCTAGAGACGGCACTGTGTCGGTGTGGTATCAGATAGAAATGCTGGTTTTTAATTCGCCACCGCACAGAGTTGAGCACGAAAGCATAACCACACATGCTGTAAAACACCCGGGAGCTATTATATTCCTCAGCCTAAAAGAAGATCACATCATGTTTAAGACAGGATAAAAAACAAGCGTAATTATGAATTAAAATACAAGCTTTAGCTGCAGCACATCACTCGTCATCATTACACAACCCGACCCTTCCTTCCCGGCTCTGGGATGGACGCTGGCTTTATGATGCAGGAAAATCCAATGACCACACACAAGTGTCGAGATGCCTCAGCCTTCTATAGTTTGCGTCAGCACCTCTTATGTGTAATCGCACCATCTCCCACTCGGTTCACTCCTTACATTCTCTCCTCTTCACATCTCCCTCATCTCCAGCTCCCTCTCTGCCACCCACTCACTCCCTCCCTCTCTTTTTTTCTCTCTCTTTATCTTACCACCCTTTTCTCTTCCTCTTCCCATCTGCCTTCCTCCCTATCTTCATCCATCTGCTTCTACCGTTCTTCCTCATTTGCTGTTGCAGCTGGCCTGAGGTGCAGCTGTACAGATATCGCTCAAGGGCTACCTCTCTTGTTATTTTCCCCCTTGGATTGTGGTCCCCCCCCCAATATCCATCTCTCCCAACCCCCCAGTGGCAGCATGTGTTTTCCCTTCGGTGCTGCTTGATGTCTCTGTGTTAGATAACAGGTCCTTAGACTGCTACCGCAGGCCATGAGATCGCCATCTGCCCCATCACATTACGACATTCCTTTTTTGATATACACGTCCATCCTCTTGTTCACTCTTTAGCTCTCCCTCTAAGGCATGCTCTGCCATTGGTTAATCTGCCCACAATCCCACCCCAGGGCTAATCCTCATGGTTACTTTGCCCTTGGTGTCCCTGACCTTCATTTCAATTCCCTCATAAATTTCTGGGTATTTTTTGTCACTTGTTAATGAAAATACATTTCCCATAGTTCTTACTGATTCTTCAGATCTTGTAATAGATCTGGAGATCTGTTACGTCCCCCACCAGCTTTCCCAGCCTCCTTCTTATGGTGTTATTGGTGAGCCACTAAGCTCCCCATAGAGCCTTGCACTGTCAGGAATGTCTGATCCTTTGGTAATCCTGTCTTGACAACACCTACATGGATATTGATCGATTTGCACACACATGCATGTGTCACTAGCATAGCAGCTACCATTAGCACCATCTGGAAAGCCATCGCTGGTTCACGTGTGCCAGATATTGCACTTTTTCTGCAAACAAAATAGTAGATATTTTACAGGGAACAGGAGCAACAAAGATGGATAGGAGGGACGGAGCATCCAGACCTTTTCTCGTTCTCCCTCCAGCCTCAGTTTGTGACTGTGGGGCCACAAGAGATCTTTCGATACATGCAGGCTCCTTGAAGGCAAAGCTGCACAGTACACTAAATGTCTGCATTATGGATGACTGCCCATGGGTCCCCTCACTGCAATCCTGCTGCGTTGCTTATAACATACGCAACATTTTCCAAGGGCTTCCCCTAAGGAAGAAAAGGAAGCACATACATACACAGAGTCACCCTCACACATACCCCCCTCCTCCTCCTCCTCCTCCCAGCCTTCAGTAGATATGTTTAGCACAGCAGTAAAGGTGTATGATAAATTATTTTTGAACTGTTCAGCCTCAAGCTTCACTGTCAAAAACATCTTTGAAGAGCAGACGTGGCCTAAATGCTAATATAAATGTTTCTGTAATACACAGCAGCAGCAGAAGGACATAAATGAGTATTTTTGTGCTTTTCATCAGCTAAATGCTGCGTTGTATTATGTCTACTTATCAGTGTTTGCTTTTACGTAATTGCAGTTTTTTGCTGATTAAACGCGCCCCGTTGATCACCCATTGCAGGTAATGGAACCATTGACTTCCCAGAGTTCCTGACCATGATGGCCAGAAAAATGAAGGACACAGACAGCGAGGAGGAGATCCGCGAGGCTTTCCGGGTATTCGACAAGGTAAATAAGCTTTTAAGAGCATCATTAAGGAATTACAGCACAGCGTCCGTGCTTTCCAAGCTGAAGTTTTGGTTTTGGTGGAACAAGAGGTCGACGGATTGTTAAATAAATGGTAAATGGCCTGTATTTGTATAGCGCTTTACTTGGTCCCTAAGGACCCCAAAGCACTTTACACATAATAACAAATAAGCCCGATAATTCAGAGCAGGGAGAGCTTTTTGTTTTCTTTGCCTTTTTAAGATTAGTTTTAGAGGGGGAAGAAATGCAGCAAATGCTTTGGTAACGCAGGGACTAAATGGCATTTGGATGCATGTGGTATGCGCCTTAACCTCTTGGTTATTAAGTTGCATGATAATGTAAATTTATTACAGCAGGCCAGGCTAATGTTCAATTAAAGCAGAGCTATTCTATTCATTTCCAGCTCAGTGGTTTTTATTTTGGACTCTACTACAGTAGCGTTAGACAATCCACACAATAATCCTTAGTTGTCTCGTTCTTGGCCGTTGTGAAGCCCCTCAGTTTCTCCTCTGTGTGGAACAAGCTGCCTTTCTTCCTCCTTTATGTCAACCTTCTTCTGATTGGCTGCCCTTCCTAAACAGAGTTTGAACAGCAGGTGGGTCAAACTTTTTTGAGATGACCATATTGGGAATATCCTATTTCTTTGACATGAAGATCCAAGAATTGAAGACGAGCATCTCCCGTTGTAACAGTAGCCTGTATGTGACAGAAAATAGACCTGATGCAAAGAAAAGTCGTCTGTTCGTTTACTTCCTGCTTGCGTAACACCTTCTCCTTACTTACTTACTCCATTTTTACCTGAGCAGTTGTCAGCCTGCAGGGTATTTGTTTTACCGCTTGATGCGATTGTTCCCGTGCTCCGTTTCTAGGACGGAAATGGCTACATTAGCGCCGCAGAGCTGCGTCACGTCATGACGAACCTGGGAGAGAAGCTAACGGACGAGGAGGTGGACGAGATGATCAGAGAAGCAGACATCGACGGAGACGGACAGGTCAACTACGAAGGTAAAAGACTGTGACGAGCGCGAAGGAAAGTGCATGCTAAAATGTCACGTTACACAAATAGCTTTAGTTTCTAGGCCAGGGTGCGAGCTTTTATTAAACAGGGAGAACGGAGCGCTTCATTTGCCAAACTGTATTTCTCTGAGGGCGACCGCAAGACAAGCCAGCCGCACATTATATTAGTTATTAGATGGGGGGTATAGATGGAGCCTGCTGAAACAGAGATAGGAGAAAGCCATCCTCCTGAATTATCATCAGTGCGCCAGGAGCCTTTTCACTCTTTCTCCCTCGTCCTCCCTTCCTCCCACTGTTGGTCCCCTGGCACATTACACGAGAGACTGCGCTCATTTTCTAGAAGGCTGTTGATATATTATGAACAGTCCATAAGTCCTGGCTGCAAAGTGCCCTACTTCTACACTCCGACCGGATACACGAAAACCTCCTTTTATTTGTTCACTCTTGTCAATTTCACCATCACATTTCTCCCCAGCTGTAAGCACAACGCTCGAGCTTTTTAATCAAACGGGTTTAATGAGATGAACACGGAAGCTGTTTGGAAAGGGGACACTAATTAGTATGTGTGTTCTGAACCTGCTCAAGTTGATTAAAAAATTAATAAAGCATTGAACAATTTAGCAGGTGACTGCTCTTACTGGCTGTGCCAAAGCCGCACACCCAATGTCCTCATTGTCTCTTGTCCCCTCTCTCTCTGTTTGCAGAGTTTGTACAGATGATGACTGCAAAGTGAAGCTTGCCTGCCCCGTCCTGCCCCCTCTTAGAAGAAAAACAAACAAAAAAAGGATAAAAAAAAAAATCAAAATGTTTTACTTACCTCTTGGAAAAAATGTTCATTTATTCATACTGTTTCTGTATAGAAAATAATTGAATGTTGAAATAAAATATCCTTCTGTCCACACAGGAAAAATATAAAAACATACAAAAAATATCTGCATGAAAATGGTTAGTGATCCTGTCCCCTCCCCCCCGGAGATCAGTTTAGCATCAGTACTTAACAAGTAAAAATAATAACGACAAACCCTGTAACTCCCTTCAGACTAAAGCAGCAGCATTTGGTGAACTCCTTCCAGTTCCATTTGCTAGTGGTAAAGTCTGGGCTGGCCATCTCTTCTTTCTCTCTGTTTTCTGTTCTTCATGCATGCAGCTTGAGACCGGAGCACTAACCTAACCCTCCGACCCCTCCCTCACCTCCGCCCCTCCTCCGGGCTACCAGAGCGTGCTGATTCCACTATGAGCTGTCCTCTTGTTGGTTTGGTACAGTTTTTTGTATTTGGAGAGGAACTCTGTACTGTTAAGATGAGAGAATATAACAGGTTCTAACTCAAGCGTTAAAGTGGAACGGGACTTAATGTATGCTAGATAAAAAGTGGAAAAAACAAAACCCCACAATGTACAAAAAACATTTTCAAATGTTTGGCATGTTCTTTTGTTTTTGTTATGTTATTTGGACGGCCATCTTAGTAGTTGTGCGTCCCGCCCTTTGAAAGGAGGGGGGACTTAAAGAGTCTTACGGTGAGCTTTCTCATTTCTTTTTTCTTATCTTTCTTTTTTCTCGCTGAGATGCAGTGTCTGTCCTCTTTTCTTGCAAGAGAGAATCACTGGCCTTCACTTTTCTTCTTCTGTTTCTCGACTCAGACGTGAGCATAGTGAGGGGTGTACTGTGTTCGCAGCGCATGCTGTTAGGAGTGTCGGCACACCGGTCTTTGCAGATGTTCTTCTGAGTTCAGTTTACATTCATTCCAAGTTGTACATGCTAGTCTTTATTTCTTTTTTTCAAATAAAAGACCATGAACTTTATCGTGTCTTATGTCATTTTTCTTATGCTTGATTGTGAAAATGATCTATAAAGACAGCATAATGAGTCTGTATGTTGTTTACCGAGTAGACAAATGTGTCAACAATAAATAATTCTGATCATCCTCTCCATGTGCCGTGTCTTTGGGTGGTGCTGAGAAGGACCGGGTGGTGTGTGATACTCCTTTACATGGCGGTGAGATTTACGGAGAGCGAGCGCTCGCAGGGGAGGGAGAGGCAGCAGGATGTGTTTGCTTTCCCGCTCAGCCGTGGATATACATACACATCCGTGACGCCTCTTCCCTCTCGAGACCCAGCTGGTTGCTAGGCAACAGGAGCATGCTGTAACTGGGATGTTGGGGGTTTTTGAAAAGGCAAGTGGGAGTTTGAATAAACCCTCCTGCTTTCTGCCAACGACTCCATGTTGGCTTGTCCTAGTAAGGCAAACCGGGCCACAGCTTTTTACACAACACGCACGGACAGAGGCAACGTAACAGGGAGCAAGCTCTGCCATGCCTCAGTGCTACCTAAAGGTCTGAAAGTAAAGCCAGACCTAAACTGTTTTACTATATTTGGACTGTAACGTCACCGTGTTTGGAAAGAGGAAAAGATGTGGCCGCTCTCCTCCCACCAGCATGCATGTCTGGCAAGCTCGAGCTTGATGTGAAGACTTGCCTTAGACATATACGTTGAAGAAAAAACACAGAGGGGTTGGAATCTGCTTTCAAAAGACAAAACACAGAATATTCTCTGCATACCTCACGTCATCATTATCTGCTGATCTGGTCTAAATTAGGTGGTATTTAGCTTCTGTGGACTTGCCTTGCACACGTTAATCAGATAAAAAAGGAAAGGGTGGGTAACAAGAAACAGCGCCACCCGACTACTGCCAGGAACTGGGAAGCCTATCTAATTACAGTCATGATGTTTTATTTGGAAGAAGACATAAACTCGGCTTTCCTGCTTTGCCCCTCCCTGCAGTATCAGATGAGCTAATAGCAACTGCTGCTCAGCTGATTGACAGCTGGGACCGTACCTCGGTTAGTCTGATGCTCCATCTGTGATTTTACTTTGAAAGGAAGATAAAAGAGGTCTTCATGAAGCCCATAGACCAATAAAATCATGAATGGTGGGATAAAATAATGAAAACAATGCACTTTTGTGAAAGTCATCCTGCTGCTATAACATTAAAACTTTAGCATTAGTCTCACTTCTGTTACAAAATTTTTTTTTCTTTAACTGAGCCGTAGTCTTTTTATTTCAACATGACATCCTTGGATGTGGAGCTCCTGTTTGCTACTATTATCAATTTCAACTATATACACATGTATATGTGTGTGTATATATATGTGTATATATATACACACACACATAGATATACATAGATATTCAGTTTTGTGTAATATTTATAATTAGAGCTATTTTGTTACATTTAGTACATTTAAAATATATTGTATTATTTAACTTCGTCTAGTTAGTTACTGTTCTTGGAGAAACTAATAATTTTCTCCTGGAATTAATAAATAAATAAATCTAATTTTGAAACTATGTTACTGTGTCTGCTTTAAGGAGACTCTTTGTGCCAAAAACATACAGCCAGATAACTGCTGCTTCTAACATGAGCTCTACAGTTTGATGCCCAGAAAAAAAATCCAGGCTCCTGTTAACCTGGTTTAATCAGCCTGATGTCAGAGGATAATGGCCAGACAGGCCATTCCTGTAACAGGAATAACCACTCCTTAGATGAGCAGAAGGGCACATCTGAATGCACAACACAGCAAATATTGAAGCAGACAGGCTACGGCAGCAGAAGACCGCACCAGGTGCCTCTACGGAAAACCGTGGTCTCAATTTTTGCTGCGACATTTAGTTGCAGCGATCAGAGTTTAGTGTCAACAACATGAAAGAGCAGAGCCACCCTGCTTTCATGTTGTTTACTAACACGGGACGGTTTGGGCTACTGCTGGGGGTGTAATGTGTGGGGGATCTTTTCTTGGCACACTTTGGAGCCCCTCATCACCGACTGGGCCTAATGGCCTACACAGTCACCAGCTCTCAATCCAACACAGCACCTTTGGGACGTGGTGGAAAGGGAAAGTCACATCCTGGATGTGCAGCTGACAAATCTGCTGCAACTGTGATACTACCATGTCAGTATGGCCCAAAATCTCTGTTGAATGATAGTAGCAAGGCGTACCCAATGAAGTGGTTGGTAAGTGTATAATAGATTTATTTTCTTAAAAATAGTGAATACTAGGAAGTAACACAGTCTTGGAGCCAGTAGCTTGGTGACTGTAAGCTGTAAAGGTGTGCCTGCAGGTGCCTGTTCCCCCCCCCAGCATCAATCAACACTTAAACGCTAGCAGACTGACAACAAACCGCCACACTGGCTTGTTTGCCTGTAAGCACTAACCAACCAATGAAGAAAAAGCAAGCACATCCTCTCAACCAATCCCAGAAGAACAGGGGTGTGGTTTCAGTGTGGAGGCTGCAGGTTCTCTGGAAAAGGCCTCTCCCCCGGCTCTTTGGGAGAGGAAGGGACACCTGAGCACCCCGGGGGTTAAATTAAGAACATCAATATTTCACGTGTAAATGAAGCAGCTCACTGCAGAGGCGGTAATGTGAGAGGGACTGACCGGGCACGGATATCAAGTATCAATGCTGCTGGAAAGAACGGGCACGCTTTTAAGACAGACCTATGACATACAGGATGAGTGTGTATCCTGTATTTAGTAATGTGTGTGTGTGTGTGTGTGTGTGTGTGTGTGTGTGTGTGTGTGTGTGTGTGTGTGTTGGAGGGCAGGGCATGGAGCTCTGCTGGTTGGTGTAACGTCCAGCTGTAGTAGCAAGTCAAGGAAGTGGATGAGCGGAGCTGACGGAGACGTGCAATCAACATGAGAAAGCTTCTAGTACTTTCTATAAGTACCCCTACACACACACACACACACACGTTTTCACATCTTAATCAGGCCTTCCCTGAAACCACATTTTGAGCCTCAAAATTCCACGAGTACAGTCCTCACAAAGACATTTAAACAAGTACACACGCGCACACACACAGTAACACAGGTCCATTTGCACCAGCGTAACGTGCTTCGGACTTTGCTATATCGACCTAAACAAGCATATTTGCCTTTGTGGTGGCTGGAAAGGTGGCAATGTTTTAAAGGCCCACCTGTCTCCAGAGTGAACGGCACAAAGCCACGAGGACTGTAATAAAGAAAGGCAGGCACGACCTTTCAGAGCGGTTTGATCTTCACCCCTCGCGCTCACGCTGTGTACGTACACACACGCGAACACGCTAATCACTTGGAAACTTGTGTTTTGTGTGGAGACGTTACCTGCAGCAACACAAGGACCTTCCCCAGCTGTGTTTTATGTTTTGCCTTTAGAGCCGTCTTTACTTATTTCACTTCCTTTTGCTGTATTCATGGTAAAAAGGAAAGAGAGTAAAATGATGCTATTGCAGCCTCACTGCTTATTATGGGCCTTTGAGGGTCATTTTCACCGTGCTGCACTAATGACGACTACAGAGGTGCCGGAGCAAAGAGTGAGGGGGGGTTCGGCTGTTCTTGTGTCCTGGACTCTGCAATGCAGCGAGCTCTCCACCAGCACCATCCCACCAAACCCAGCTAAGCTTCCTCTGTAAATCAGTCCCGCTGCCTTTTCAATTACTGGGCCAGCGTCGGTCTCCGTCTCTCCAACTCTAACTCTTTCTCTCAACGTCTAATAGCTCCATCACTCTCATTTTTTTAATCCTCCGCCTTCTCACGTCTTGTCTTTTCTTACTGTCTCCCTCTCTTGTCCTCTCCCTCCCTCTTTCCCCCTCATTTACCTTGCTCCCTCATCTCTGCCTGCTCCATTTGTCTTACAGTGAATTTTTATGGACTCAATCACTCTTCTAGCATTTTTTCTGGTCCCTTCCTCTTCCAAGCTCCCCACCCACCCCCACCCCACTTTATAGCACGTCAGTGTCACCGTCACCATCTCTGGGTTCCTCCTCATTGGTGCCAGGCCTCCCTCTATTTACCTAGAAGAATAGGCTCATCCATCTTTGATTGTTGTGAAATATTATGGCGGTGTCACGACAACCAAGCCTCCCCGAACCTCATGCAATATTCAGAGGCGATGATATAAGATTCCTGCTAATGAAAAAAACAGCAGGCAATACAAACAGCCCTTTAATAACGGCCCGGCAGAACAGCAGGCTCCCTGTTGAGCTCAGGAGTTGTCTGAGACACAGAGACAGAGTGAGAGACCCTGTATATCAGTGCTAGGCCCCTAGGGTGGAGGCACCAGCACCCAGCACCCGTTTGCTTTAAAAACCCCACTTCATTAGTACCATGGACATATCTAGAACAAATGCATGCAAAATACTGTTTAACATGTATATAAAAAAGAAACATATGTAGCTACTTGTCATATTAAAATATTCCTCCATGTTTCTCAGATCGTTAGAGGAGAGCTTGTAATGATCTGCAGTTTGTTTGGGACGCTCCACTCCAGCAAAGCCTAAAGTAAAGCCTGCATGTTGATCCACTTTTCTAACCCTGTCACGCTAAATTGCACCAGTCCACCTGCTCCTAAATCTCCATAGCAACTCAGGCTGTCGATGGAGAGTGATTTCAAACTTAGATCAACCCCATTACATACTGTGTTAACCTGGCCGACACATTACCGACTCAACACTACTGCGCCAGAACTCTAGCCACCCTGAAACTAACCAGCTGATTAACTCTCACCTTTGCTTCACCAACAAAAAATATACTTAATAAGTAAGAGTTATTTATTACGTAGAAATAAATAATCTGTTTATTTATTGGATGGCGCCACAAAACGAGATCTGGTAGCATCAAGATGTCTGTTTTATCAAACGATGGACGCACATGTCGTTCCAGAAACTATATTTACATATTGTTCAGTATCAGTGGTGTTGGTCAGTGAATGAATTTCAAATTGTGACCACAAGATAGTTTTCCACTCCGCCTCAGTACGTCCTAAAC